GTTTCTAAAGTTGGCCATTACGGTTCGTGGTCGCTGCAAAATATGAAAATTATTTCGTATTATCAAATGGCCATCAAGGCCTGCCAACAACAAAATCCACTGCACAGAGCAACGCCCAACCATTGACATTTTAACTCGTTGCAGTGTAAGTTGTTGCGGAAGTTGATTGATTGCAGCCCGAGTGATTGATGTGGCAAGCTGCGGAGCTGTAGAGCAATCGCAAAATGTCAACACACGCGCTTCTAGGTGTCGTTGACTTAACTGGCCCGATAGTTGCCTCGTTAGCATCAACTGTTGTATCCAATCCATTTACATACATTCCATATAGTATGTACAATGTACATGCAAACTTTTATCATATTTACAAGCATACTAAGTATATGTAAGAATACATACTATATCTAATCCAGAGCTTATGCGATCATGTGTTTTAGTCAGATTGCTCTATAGCTCTGGAGAAATATCGAAATTCCAAAAAATAAAATAAACTCGTCCTTTCTCGGACCTAGGAGAATCTGGATGCCAACTTTGGTTATTATAGCTTTTATAGTTTCAGAGATCCTTGCGTTCATCCAGACGGACGGACAAACGGACAGACGGACAGACGGACGGACGGACATGTCTAGATCGATTTCTCTCGTCATGCTGATTCAGAATATATATACTTTATGGGGTCGGAGATGCTTTCTTCTGCATGTTGCATACTTTGCACAAACCTAATATACCCTTTTTACCCTACGGGTACAGGGTATAAAAACACTCTATTTTAAATTGAGTATTTTAGTCAGATTTCTGTTTCTGACTGTTACTTTTCTTATTATGGTGTTTTGGGTTGTGCTGTCCAAAATTAGACGCGAGTTTCGAGACTTTCGTTCGGATAGAATTGTGGAATGTGTTTTGGAATGAAGTTTCTTCTCAATCACTATATGTATGTATATGACTGCCTCTACATACAATGTGATAGTATCTACAAAGCAATTCATAGATACATAAATACACACATACATACATGGAGTGTATCTATAGTTCTTGTCTGCGCCTTTTCGTTTGTACTCATATTGCTTCATTGATGAGTTCACACAAAATTAGGCAGCAACAACGACAACAATAGCTGCGGCAACAGAAAAAAACAAAAAAAAAACAGTAGGAACGACCTTCAAAGCGTTGAAAATGTAAACTTGAACGAGAAGAGAAGCACAAACTAGTAAATACATTTTTGTTTCGCTTGAATTTTTACTTCTGTGCTGCTTTGTCATTTCACTTCTATTGTGGGCTTAACATTCGTTGAGCAAAAAATATACATACAACTATATACAAATGTATGTACGAGTATGTATGTATGTATGTATGTACATAAGCACCTCAATGACAACAGCAGCAACGTAAACCGGATTTGTGCCCAGCAGCGATGCCCCTCCTCCCACCAACCTCCAACCAACCCTTTCCCACCACCAGAGCTTTAACTACAACTGCGTCAGAACCGTTGGCACATGTGTCGTCCCGTCCATCACCCACGCCGGCCAACCGAGCACACAAAGCAGTCCAAGCTCGGCTGAGGCCCCCCTCCTTGTTTGTGTGTGCTCCTCATACTAAGCGTAAAATTATTTTGATTATTTATTAACAAGAGAGAACGCTACAGTCGAGCAAGCCCGACAGTGTAATACCCTGTACCCAGGTAAACTTCCGTCACTGAGTTATATGCGCCCATAGCAGCAGCAAAAAGAGGAAGAAGAAGAGCGAACTTGTTGCTGCAGTTTGTGGGGGTTGTACTGTAGAGAATTTGTTTCGCTAATAACTTTTCTTAGAATTGACCGAATTTGATAAAATTTTAAACAACAGTAGATAATTGTATAGAAATTATGTGTGCAAAGTTTGGTTTAGGTAGCTTTTGAAATGTGGACGCTATTGACGAAATTCTGTAGCGGGGGAAGGGGGGGAAAATTAAAAAAAAAAAAATAAACTCGTCCTTACTCGGACCTAGGAGAATCTGGATGCCAACTTTGGTTATTCTAGCTTTTATAGTTTCCGAGATCCTTGCGTTCATCCAGACGGACGGACAGACGGACAGACGGACAGACGGACAGACGGACGGACATGTCTAGATCGATTTCTCTCGTCATGCTGATCAAGAATATATATACTTTATGGGGTCGGAGATGCTTCCTTCTGTATGTTACATACTTTGCACAAACCTAATATACCCTTTTTACCCTACGGGTACAGGGTATAAAAACAACCACAAGCTGCACAAACAAATTAAATATATATACTCACATACATATATATGTATGTATGTATTCATGTGCATATAATTTTTACAACTACCAACCTGGAATTGCGGCTCATTCATCGTTTTGCTTGCTGTCTGAGTCGCCGCACATTATTTATTTGTTTGCCTGGCTGTCTGTCTGTTTGTTTATAATTTTTGCTGTTGTTTTTCCTACTACTAGTTATCTACAGAAATGTATGTATGTGTACATAAAAGTGTGCGCAATATAAAGCAAAAATAAATAATGTTTTGTTTTGTTTGGTTTTTTCTGTGTTCACATTGTTGTACCTGAAACCGCACACAGCGATATACTATATATGACATACTTATATACCGTATTTATAAAAATGTGTACTTATATACTATACATACATACATACATATGTGTATATGTAAGCCCCAACGATCAATTCATTCACTTTTTCCAGCCATTCCATCCACAACGGAAATGACGTATACGTGTTTTTTTCGTCGCGCACCTTTAAACAGTTAGGCGCGGCTCGATTTGGTCGATCCTCTCCTCTGAGGCCTCTATATGGACGAACTATTGGGCAGAATTAATTAACTTGTGTCCGCGTGTGGTCAGTGGGTTGCTAACTGACGCACTGGGCGCCCTTCTGGGCGACAATCTGACAGCGCCAGCGACGTCAGCACGTGCTGGCCTATGCTCGTAAGGTCGGACGGCCGTAGCCCAGACACGTACACGTACACGTACATACTCGTATGTATGTTTGTATGTACAACGTCCGAATGCCCGTGCGTTTGCTCATTGCTAAGTGCAAACCGGAAGCGCACACCATGTGCAAAATATGGCAAAACTGTTATATATTGTATTGTATATATGTATGTAGATAGGTGTATAGTATAACTTCTATTGTGAGCACAAGGCGTCTCTATGAGAGTGTACAAGTATGCATGTGTGTGTGTGCGATGTGTGCAACGGAAGCGGGCCAAAGGTGACCGACAGATATAGTAGACCGAGTGAGTCATCGCACTCAATAGCCATGGACAGTTTCGAGTACATATTACTTATTGATTCCCCACACATTTCAAATGTGTGGCGACATTAACTCGTAGAAGATCTTTGCAGAACACTTACAAGTAATTAATGAATAACCACATAATGGTGTCATTTACGATGCATACTTAAACCGTGCACCGTAACGTAAACATATGTATTAGTATAATTATTCATTTAAAAATGCATTCATATTGATTTTGTTTCATCGAAATATTTTTGAAAACACTTTTTTAAATTTTTATTTTATTATTGAATCACGGAATCGGCCTACACTAATGGCAATAGCACTATTGCTTTCTCCTATAAAAAGAAACCAAATTCAACAAGAGTACAATAAAAAACAAATTAAAGATTCGCATACAACTAATGCTTAAACTATAAGATCCGTCGGTTGTCTTCTTCTCAACTTTAAAGATGAAAGTTTTTGACGACAGGAAATGAGAAAAAAGAACATAAGTACAGATTCTTATCTTCGTGAGTGCACGCTGGCTACAAGCTATCACACGATATACGGTGTATTGAACTTTATGTACGACTATAAAAAAGAACCTTTATCAGAATATTAGGGGGAGTTCTTTAGATTGCATTAGGCAGTAACTTTAATTATTTTGAAGACGCGTATTCTTGGTACTCCTCATAAATTAAACAAATGTAAAGTACTATATATCGATCGATACTCAATATTGCCCTATTTATAATCTGTCTTCTGCATTGCTAAGAACGCAAACTGAGCTTCGGGATTTCATGTACAACATTCTTTTTTTACATGATTTTGATGTATCTTTAGACATAAGGAACCAATCACCTTTTTTTGCATATGATCAATGTCTTTTTTACACGGTTGTTTCTGGACCCAATCTAAAGTCTAAAAACTGAATTATGAGTATTTGGGACGGTTTTTTATTTATTTTTTTTTTTTTTTTGTCGAACTGAAATGGATATCGAATTTGGATTACAGAATACTCGAATGTTGTGGTAGCTGAGGGTGCTCTTGGATGATGCCAACCGAAATAGAATTATGTATTTTGACGGTAGTCGCGGTAGTCGAGGAAGTTTTATTGGAAATTTAAGATAGTACGGTCGTTGTGATTGCGAAATAAAGCATACATATGTACAACCCGTTGGCCGGCATTGATAACCGATTTGCATTGTTTTGTGCATTTCATTGTATTTGCGAAAGCACATTTGTTATGATCAAAGTAGGAAATTGTGGGCTTCCGTTTTGTGTTATGCTGATGATGACAATTCCCAGCTTTGTCATCAACGGTGCTACTAATACGGCCACCGCCTTCGCCCCCTCGTCGCGCAATCGGTGCTCTTTTATTTATAGAAAACAGCAGTGCACAGCATTTCCGTTTTTCGATTTTCCTTTCGCGTTGCGTATGGCAGCCACATCCGTTTCTAATTGGAGAAAAACGACAAGCGGTCGACCGCTTTTGGCCTGACGCATTTTATGAATGAGGCGAGCGAACTGAAAGAAAAAGAATTTCATGCACGCTTGAGCACCATGCGTGCGAGCGAGGTGGTGATGGAATGGGACTTAGGACCCACGTAGTAGGTGTTGTCTTACCGAAAGCCTAAAGAGCTAAGCTTGGCTAAGCATAACGAAGAATTTGCACCGCTTCGAAAAAACAACAAACAACACACAAGCAAGCAAAACGAAACAAACCCGAGATTCTTCAACTCATACCTACTCTCTTCTTTTTGCAGAGGGCTTCTCCAGTTTTCGACAAGCATTTCCGGAGTGGTGCGAGGATGACAACCAGGTGCACAACAAAGAAATGGAATCTAGTCGGAATGCACAAGCTGATCAGCTCATGGGTCTAAGGTATGTAGAAAAACAAATCAAATCGGTCTTAGAGAATGAGTCATCAATTAATAAGGCATGTTTAGAGATTTAGAAATACTTGTACATATTATAATTTATTCATTCATCATTATAATTTATTCACTAAAAGAAGGCGTAGCAGATAATAATGATCTGTAAGTAAGAACAGGACACAAAATTGAAAAGGCAATATTTTTACGTTAACTAAAAACTAGATGTTTGAATTGCTTTTATGGACTCTTAGGAGTTGTCCCTGAATAGATACGATTTAAGAGCACTTCTTCTGTGAGCGAATTTTTATTATTGAGCAATGTTTTGAACTCGATTTATTTTTACAGATCCTTGCGCATTTCCACACCGCATTCCGATTCGGCCTGTAGCAGTTCGGCCGAGTCATCGGATTGTGAAAGCACCACACACCATCATAATTTTAACGAAGCGCCAGTTGAGATAATACCAGGCCTCTTCCTTGGCAATTCCTCGCACAGCTGCGACTCGAATGCTCTGCAAAAGTACAACATCAAGGTTTGTGTGCTTCATTAATTTGCCGCGAGCGGTTCACTAATCAATGCCTTACTTCACAGTACGTTTTAAATGTCACACCGGACTTACCAAATGAGTTTGAGAAACACGGCATAATCAAGTATCTGCAAATACCCATTACTGATCACTATTCCCAAGATTTGGGCATGCATTTCCCAGCTGCCATACACTTTATAGGTAAGTGACGAATCGCATCAAGTCCAACTTATTCCAAGCCTAACCCATTATTCGCTCCACCAATCATTGCAGAGGAAGCGCGCTCCGCCAATTCGGCCGTGCTGGTACACTGCCTCGCCGGCGTCTCGCGCTCCGTCACCGTTACGCTCGCCTACCTAATGCAAACACGAGCGCTCAGCCTGAACGACGCCTTCAAGCTGGTCCACGCCCGCAAGCCCGACATCTCTCCAAACTTCCACTTCATGCGGCAACTCGAGTCCTTTGAGAGTCAGTTGCGTCTGAATCCCAGTCCCAGTGATTGCAATAGCCAGGCCATGGACGAGGGCCACATCAGCAGTGTTGCTGGAAGCTCGGCAATTGAGCTATCCGCTGGGGGCGTTGTCATCGCCGCTCCCCGCTGCGCTCGTGGCTCAAAGTTTTCGTGCAACTGCATCGCCCCCGACTGCAAGTGTATGCAAACTGGCGGCTTTATGGCGGCCCATCTGGCCAAGGCCACGGGTGTTTCGCCTGATTCGGGCATCGAGTTCGATCGATGGACACCGTCGTCGGACACGGGCCTCAAATGAGATCAGATTGTGGGAAAGAGTTTTGTGCTGCCGCCAAGTAGTCAGGAGATGATGTCGCCTCCCATTTTCGTTGCAACTAATGCGGATAACATGTCCCCCGCCTCGACCACTAGTTCGTCCACCTCGACCACAACCACGGCGGAAGCTGTGTCTGTGGTGGAGGTGGTGCTGGCCACAGCATCTGCAGCTGTGGACTCCACACTATGTGAGTTGGAAGAGGAAAAGGATCTGGATCAGGAGCAAGTGGATGTCAAAATAGAAGCGGAGTAGGAGCGACAGTTAGGGCATGATATTTAGTTGGTTGCACAACTCATTTCCTTCCTGTTTGATTGCGCACAACAACTACACAAAACACACACACACATATATAAATCATATACAGCTACACGCCCACACAGAAATATAATATAATCGATCCTAATTTCTAGATAATTTTTTAAGTAAGAACACAAAAGAAAAATGTTGAAAACACTAATACCGGCTGAAGAGAGTTCAGCGGCAAGAAAAGTTAAAATTTACTTTGTTGCTGCAATTCTCAAAAATAAAAAAAAGCAGCCGTAATTCACATGCATATAAAATAACAACCACACACTAAACAAAAAAGGAGAAAAGCAAATTGTATAAGCGATAACATGTACTTATTTGTTTATGCACATGCTTGTCCCTAACTCTGTACAAATGATGTACGTTAATGGAAACACCCACGTTATTTATAAAGTTGAAACTTGAAACCATTTTAGGCGAATAGTTTTATAATTTAACTACAACTTAATGTTCATAAATGTATAATTGTTATATGCAAAAACCCATGCAACTATAAATACAATTTAAACCAAGTCATACATATATGTATAAATGTAAACAAATGAAGTTGGTGAAACCCGCAAAAAAAAAAACAAAAAAAATATATATATATACACAAACAAATTTTAAACACACACCTACACAATTTTTTCAAGTAATTTTCATGTATTGCATTTACAAAAGCAAAAGTTGAACCCCAATATTACCTAAAAACTAAGCGTTGAAATAAATTCTAATGGCCAAAAATGAAAAGCAAACAAAAAGGTAACGAGTCGAGAAATAATAATAACATGCCAATCGACAACGGACACCTTTGCTCGTCTAACTCGATGGTTGGCTATTTTTCTAAGGTTTTAAGCCCAGAGCGGCAGCTAAATGAACGATCGGACGATGACCGGACGCGGACGCGGACCGCCCGGAGGGTCGTGCGTCTAATTAATGGTTTGCGTTTGTATTTTTTTTTTCCAACTGTGAAAGATGGACATATTTACATACGCAGAATTGTTAAAACATATTTTAACAAAGAAAGGCGCGTGAAAATCTGAACATTTGAGGCAGAACATATAGATAGTAGGCATAGGATGTAGATACATTTAGTTGGAAAATATTGCAGGGCTGGTTCTAGGCAGGAAAAGATGGTACAAAATTTATCAGGTGACGTTTAAATGAAAATGGTTTACAACAACATACAAATGAATAAATAAAACAAGAAATATTTCGAAAAAAGGCTGTGCGCAAGAATAATATATAAAAACATATATAAAACAAATATTTATAGGAGGGAAAGAGCAACAGCTCTTGGAAAGGAAAAACAAAAACAAAAAACAACTACAATAAAACTATTGACAATTGTTTTGCTCTGTCGATTATTAATTACTGTGGCGGTCGCATAATTTCAATTCTTAGGTTCTTCGTTTCCATATTTGACCATTTATCCATCAGTTTGGAAACATGTATTTAGAGACTTTTACATTCCATACATAAATTCTTTTTTGTGAAAACAAATTGCAATTCCAATTAAATCTGGATCGAAAGAGTTCTGCTTTACGTCCGTAATACGAAAATTATTTTCACGGTTGGGAACTGGTCTATATAGTCACTTCCTCAATTCGGTTTCAGCGAAATTCTTCGGTCCAATAATATAATTGTATAAGGAATTTCATTTCTTATGTATGAAACTAAAATTTGTAGCTTTATATGAATTCGATGAACCCAAACGTTCTGTTGAGTTCATGCCCAATTAAATGATATGATCCGCTAATGTTGTCAGATAATGGCATGAAATTGACGGACTATTCCAATTAGAGGACTTTTAGTTGAAATCGACCGCAATTTAAACATTCAACTAAGTAATGCGCTTTCTCTGTAACGATAGAAAGAGAATGTGTTTGATTACAACTCTTTTGACATTTGAAAAGGTTATAAAGTTTTAAGTAAATAAATAAAAATATTACGCCCAGTTTTGTTTGTAAAAACATCAAAAATTCTTTATTTTGAAATTAAAGGCAGAAGCGTTTGATCGCAGGCAGCTAAGCGGATTAAGTTCCTTCTTTTCGACTAACCCAAGTATATGAAGAAAAGAAATGTTGTTTTAGCGAATAAACCTAAGGTTAGGCATACATACAAAAAAAAACAAAGCACAAGCTACACTCGGAACATGAATATAAATTAATAATAATCAAATTAATTGTGACAGATATTTGCAGCTGACTAGTACAAAGTACAGTAACTAACGAAATAATAAAGCAATTTTCAATAATTTGAACCCTTAGTTAAATCTGCATATAAGGCAAGCATGGCCTATACATTTTAAGCTAATACAAGTTGAATGCCTCAGTCAGATTTAAATGAAATCTAAAATATTTTACAAATACCATATGTATGTGAAGCGCCCCAAAAAAAACAGAAACCAAAAACTTTTGAGTGTCGACCTTTTTGCAAGTTATTAATTAAATGATAAATGTTTGCTGATTATTGTAACATATTAAATGTTTTAACAAATGACAGAATCGATTAACTCTTTACAAGAACAGTGAATCGAAAAAGCTGCCACGCAGCGCATTTTTGTTGGGCCAGTCCCGATCCCAGCGCTATATTGGTGCTGGGATGAGACCGCGGCAATTGGATGTATGGTAAATTTTAAGTGAATACCTTTACGTATTGTACATCTGAGTGTTAATTTTTTTCATGAATGTTCAGCACAAAACCACAAATTTTGAAATAGGAAAACGGGTGCAATAGTGCCAATGGGTAAGGATTGAAGATTTGTAACAAGTTGTACCTTTATTAAAGTCCAAAATGTTATGGAAAAAGGGTAACAAAACCAAATTAAACACCCGAATCGATAAGATTAAATCGAGATAAACGATAAACGATTTCCCCCAACTAGTTGTGTTTTGCACATTTTGTAAACTTTACAACACAAGCAAACGCAAAGATTGCTAAAGAATGCAGTATTAAAACTAACAATATACAACTACCTAATAAAACCGTTTATAAAACCCGCATAAAGATTGCTGTTTCAGTTGGTAAACAGTATTTATTGGGCGTGGAATTTGTTAAGCACACGCTGCAAAATTTCAACTACATACAATACAAGTACATTTAAAATTAGCATATGCAAACGATGAAGCAGATATGCAGTCAAAACATGAAAATGCCTACTCATAACAACAAGGTGAGTATGGAGGAGCGTATACGTTCTGATAACAACGTAATGAGATACTTTAAGCTTAAACGCTAGTTACTAATACGCAGACAAAAACAGCGAGGGAACATCTAACACTCCATTAAATGCTAATTGACTTTCAACACACGAGCAGCTCCGCATTATTGTCCTCAGTTTGCGCTCCAAATCTTTTTTACAGCCCCTTGTTAAAGTAAACACGCTTAGGCACGTTGCCAGACGTATTCCTTTCCAGTTCTGTATAGAGCTCTGGCTCGATGATACGCATGGTCGATGTTTTAAGCGAGCATTCTTGTGGAAACAGGGCACAAGCCGTGGGTACCATAAAGGAGAGGCTGTGAAAAGGAGACAGTTACATTAGATATATTATTTTATAACTTTTCCCATCACATCTATGTTTAGTATGTTTTAATATTTCTTTTCGGTTCAATCCAAAATAAATTATTAATTTTTGAATGGCGTATATAAATAACGGACGCAAACAAATTACTGACAACGGCTTCTTAAAAATCTCGAACACAACTAGGAACTAAGAGAATGTTCAATTTGTTTAGTAAAGGAATGAACTGGGCATTCCTATATTGCCGTTTATTTGTGTGGAAATTAAATTGTGCAAGGCTGGTTTGATTGCAGCGAATGGTTTTCACGTAGATTCCACCTTAGGTAAAGCTGTAGTATAAACTCCCGAATTAACTGTTAACTATTTAGCTAAAGGTTATCCTATTGATACTTTACTGAACTGATACATACTATACGTAGACGACTTATCCAATATACAATGCTTACTGCATTTGAATTCTCATAAGATGTAACGATACTTACAAGCAGCCCACGATCAGTGTCTGGAATGGCGCATTTATCCACTTGATGCGCTGATAGCTAGGGAATTTTTCAAGACGCTCCATAATCAGTGGAAGCACCAACATGCCAGGCGCAGCCATTGTAATACGCGAGATGACCACCTCGCTGATGCCCTTGACTGCAGCGAGACGACTGTGGCCCACTATCTCACCGTCTGAGTTTTTCACCTCGATGCCCTGTATAATCTCGTTCTGACGCATCAATGGAATGTTGACGCAGTTCGCGGCAGCAACAGCGGCAAAGGGTACGAAACGCTGGAACAGCGGACTAGCCTTTCGCGACCAGTAATTCTTTAAGCCGATGCCGGCAACCAACGCCGACGTTGTGGCAGACACATAGGCGAAGCCCAGCTGAGTGACGCTTGTGGGCGAATTGGCATTGCGATTCGTGTAGTTGACTATCTGTAATTATGTCATTAATATATGTATAATACTCCATACAAGTGACATTTGTGTTTATATGCTGTATATGCAAAATGGAATTACCCCCCAGTGATAGGAGCATTATTTCTGTGCTTATACCTTCTAGGTCGTTTGAATTGGTCAACTTCCTCATTTAAAATGTGACCTTTGACTAAAATTGTTTATAATATTGCATACACACCGCATTAAAAGATTGATTCAGAAACTGCCAGAGCATCACTGCCGGAACGGTGCGGTAGAAGGCCAGCATGCCGCCGGTAATGAGCATTCCGCCAGGCACCTAGAACAAAGGAGCATTACATCAATTCGGCGACTTATTTTGGCAAGCAATTGTTGACGTCAGTAGCGCAATGAGTGTGACAAACGTGTGGGCTATTTTTACAAAGCCCAACCAAAGCCAAAACACGCGATCTACGCGCATCATTATGTCAGGGCGACTGTTGAGGAACCTACCTGAAAGCTCATGCGACCGCAAAAGTTTTGCAGTTCGCCAGAGTCGGGATGAAAGGCAGAGCTGTAGAGCTTCATGTTGTACTGCACTTCCTTGGGATTCAGATCATTGGGCTGCTCGCCTGCTCGATATCTCTGTACCATTTCCTTAGCCTGCAGCAGCCGCTCGCTGGGCAGCAGTACCGTTCGTGGATCTGTCATCCAGGCATAGTACTTGAATCGACCCACAAAGGTGGTGATATCGAACAATGGTTTGTCCACATTGATGGGCTCTACTGTGGAGTCGGAGCTCGGAATATAAAGATGTTATGGATAAAAAGGAAAGATCTGAAACTTACCTGCATTATCCGGCATTTTAACTTCCTGCCTTAGCCCGCACTGAACTTTAGTCTGTAATTCTTACGTAATCTTTTACTTATAACGTTGCCTTCTCCCGCTTGCTCGAAGTGTTTTTCTTTGTGCCTGTGTTAATTGCGCTCTTATTGTACGCGTTCTATCAAAATCCACTAGAGTACACACAAGTACGACCGATAACTTGTGCACAGGTGTGCCGTTTCGGCCGTTGTCTGTCTGCGCTGGCAGCGATTTTCACTTTTCTGTTAGCTTTTTGCAGTTCAATAGCAAAATTGTTGGCATTACTCCAAAAACATGAAAAGAATTTTTGTTTTACTCACCAGCGCTTATTGGAGAGGGGGGGTTGTTGGTCGGTCAGCCAACTAATTTGATTTGCAAACTTTAGTCCTAACCGTGTTTGTGCACACCTAGAGTCGATAAATCAAATGAGCAAGCCTCGAATCAAGTATGCATATTCAACGAGCCATTTCCTATATAACAGGAGCAATCCAGAGTCCCTATACCGGTGGCCGTTTTTTGTTTACGGCTGCGCGAGCAAAAAGAGTGGCGCATTGAAATTGGCAATTGTCACAAGACTGCCAGCTTGTTGGAAAATGATGAATGATGCACCGTTCACAATAGCGCGTCAGCTGTTTTACCTGGTTGCCATTCACAATGCGTCTTTAAAATGTTTTTTGTTGTTGTCGTCGCTACTGCTTCATTTTGATCGCATTTTCGTCTTATTTACCAAATTTGCATTAATTAGCAAAGCGCGGCGCAATCGATATTGCAACATATTTCTGATGCTCACGACAGCTGCAAAGACAACGGCAACAAGAAAATGAGGCCAAATTCTGAACGCAGTCGCAAAAGAAGCAGATAATAATAGCAAGTGACGTTGCTGCTGGTTGAGGTAGCGGCGGTCAGTCGGGGGAGTGTGTTCGGTGTTCGCCAAAAGCTAAACCGGATAATCTAGCAGCCACGCCAACAAAATACGCTCACAGGATCTCGTGCGGTTCATTGCACTCGAGATGAAGCTGTGTTGGCTGGTATTGCAGCTTTTGGCGTTGCTAAGCTGTTCCGCCTTGTGCGCCAATATCTTGGCCGTCCTTCCAAGCGTCTGGAAATCGCATTACCTGTTTGGCCGACGCCTAATGCAGCAATTGGTAGAAGGCCCGCAAAATCACTCTGTAACCATTATAAGTCCGCATGCCGCCGAGAGTGGTGTAGACGAAGAACTAGCCAACATACGCGAAATCCGTATCGAGGGCCTCATGGTGAATTGGCTGGATATGGGCATGAGCTTCGAGGCAGAAGAAATGCGCGCCCAGAGCGTCATGGAGCGATTTACGCGTCTCATATACGCTGGCACGACAAATGTGGACCTGTTGCTGTCGGACGCCCAGGTGCGTAAGTTATTAACAAGCGGAGAGCGTTTCGATCTGCTCGTTGTCGACTTGTTTTTAAGTGATGCGCTGCTTGGGTGAGCAACTTATAGCATTTATTTAGGGTTATCCTTTACCATAATGTTTGTTACGTTGCAGTTTGGCCTTTTATTATGGCATACCCACCGTTGCGATAAGTCCCACCGGCGCCAACTCTTGGCTCAACAATATGTTTGGAAATCCACAAGCATCTTCCTTGGATCCAAGCAATTTTCTGCCCTTTACGGAGCGCATGACTACGAGTCAACGCCTTGTGAACACGTTAATGAGTATGTTTGAACGTCTAACTTACAAGTAAGTAATCTAGAATCCGGCACACCTTCTACCCTTAACGTTTGCGTATGTTTGCAGCTTTTTTCACATGATTTCGCAGCAATCGGTCTACTCCAAGCATTTTGAGCACTTAGTGTCGCAGTCATCGGATGCACGCCCTTTGCCGCACTATCGCGATTTGGCCAAGAATCTCAGCTTGGCGCTAATAAACTCACATGCTGTGTTGCACTACCCACGCGCCTATCTTCCCAATATGCTCGAAGTTGGCGGTCTGCATCTGATGACGCCGCAGAAGCTGCATTTGCCCAATGTAATTGGTAGAATAGCTTGCCAGAAGCAATGTCTCACGCTTTGCAATCATTATTATAGCACTTGAGAGAGTTCGTTGAGGCCGCTCCCAGTGGTGTCATCTACGTTAGTCTGGGGGCCGATGTGCGTATCGATGAACTGCCCCATGAGAAGATAGCCGTACTTCTGGATGCGTTTTCCCACCTAAAGGAGTTCCACTTTTTGCTGAAATGGGAGTCAGATGAGTTTTTTGATCAGCTGCCGGAAAATGTCATGATAAACAGCTGGTGGCCTCAGGCAGCCATTTTAGGTAAGTATTGCTTCTCAACATTTTTCAATGAAATAGGTTTTAAATAAGTGGCGATTCAATTCACTTAATCCCTTGCACTTTCCCACAGCGCATCCGCAAGTCAAAGTGTTCATCAGCTCGTGCGGTGTGCTCAGCACTTTGGAGTCCATTGTGGGGAACACACCCTTACTTGCCATACCCATACTGGCCGAGCAGGAGGTCCTGGCCAAACGTTTGCAGCTTCAGGGAGCCAGCCTGACCCTCAATTACGATGCACTGTCTTATGACGCAATTGTCCAAGGCATACGTCAGCTCACGCTGAACGACAGCTATGTGCAAAGGTTGAAAGAGCTCCATCGGCGCTTGCGCACAGGCACGGGCGATTTGGACACCCTTTCTAGAGCGTTACAACAAATTGAACTTGTGCTGCAGTCCAACGGCGCTGACTATCTTAAGTCGCACGCCAACACGCTCAACTTTTGGCGAGCCGAGGGTCTCGATGTGATTGCCATCATTGCACTGGGTGTTTTCGGTATACTCACTGTACCCTTCGTGGCCGTTTGGTGCATTTTGCGCAGGTCCTACTACAGCGAGGCGGCTCAAGAGCAGAATCAGCAGCTGCCGTATCGCACGACTTTGAAGGCTGTTGGGCGCATGCAGAGCTTTGGCGACCAAGCCTGTGCTGCCAACGAGGAGCCACTGCGTCGTACTCGATCGGCCCAATCCCTTTCTGCACGCTCCAGCTGCTCTAGCTATAGCTCTTCGACGCCCACAACTCCCTCGAGCACCTCGACAACACCTTTGGATTTGACGCCACCACCGCCGTCTGGATCTGCAACTACGCCACTGGTTGTGGAGCATATGCCGCCCCTGCATCTGTATGTCAGTAATCAGCCAGACTTTACTACTCAGGCATCACACAATGAGAACACGAAGCGGCAATTTTTATAGCCACATTTCGGTACGAAAGTGGCAACGATATATCTCTAGCGTACACAAACATACATATTTACATACTATATTTGTTTTATCTAGCGACTTAAGCCTGATTTTAAGTGTCTGTGTGTGTGTACTTTTTATCGTTTTTAGGTTTTTGTGATCGTTTATGTTTTTTATGAAAAAACTTGGCGTGCATACTATACATAAATATATAAAAGTAAAACAACTGACCCTCAATTACCCTCAGGGCCCCAGGACATACCTTAGTTCACGCTCAACGGCAGACAGACACATATGTGAATCGGAATATTGAAGGGAATCAAAAACGACTGAAAGGAATTGATGGCATTCAAATATTGAGGTACACTTTTAATTACAAGTTCGGGTCTAATTAGCCGCGTTACTGGCTACTGACTGCCGGCAACGACGGTGGCAATGGCGGCGGTGCTCTTTGATGTTCAGGGAGGCGTATGCACTTATTTAAGCCGAGTGCGTCACAAGTGTCTCTTAGGACGTGCAGATGCAGTGGATGCTGCCAGCGGCCTTGGGGTGGCGGGTGCTCCATTTGCAACAACGTGGCACCTGTTTGCATTCAGCAGTCGAGGCACGTAAGCAAACACACACATACAAATGTCCACAGGAGTGTATCCTGGCAAACAAATGCTTAAGCAAATGTCGAAAGAAAGGGCTCCCCAGGCGTACATACGTGTGTATGTATGTCAACAATTGTTGGCATTAGCTTTGGCGCTGTAAGCTTTCTCCCACTGCACTTTTTATACCTTGCCAAATGTTTAGATTTTCTGCTGTTGTTTATGTTTATTTTGTATATATCCCCATTTAAATAACAGCGGGGCTTCTGCAACTGGTTCTGATTTGTAATAGATTTAGTCGATTAACTGCAAACGGATGTTTTTCGCAGATGACTTTGTCTATTATAATATATAGGAGGAAGAGAGAAATCGAAGAATTGTATTTTGTACACAATATAATGAGCCAAATCTTTGTCCTAGTTAATTATTTCGATTACCTTATAAGTTTGATTCATTTTACTGGCGTACTTAACATTTAACTATCAGCTTTGTCTATTTTATTTATGTCTTTTGTAAATTGCTCGTTTTGTCAACTAATCCTTATTTGTAATATATTTTTATTTCCCCTTCAACTGTAAGACCTTCTAAGGGCACTTTGTTAAGTAAACGCTTTTCTAATTTCTTTATTTGTAGTTTTTGAAGGCTACATTAGAAAAACTTGCTTTCAATATTTCACACTATGTTTCATTTCATACGTCAACCCAAAAAACATTTCATGATAAATAAACGTTAAAATTGTTTGGTGTTATCTCGTTGCTCCAATCATTTGAATCCTTCCCCAATCTTTACGTGCACCATTATTTAATGCAAATCTGTAATACTCAATATCCGAAATAGCTATAATTTTCATTATATTGCTGGTATTACAATATACATATACTATTTTAGTCAATATACCGCACAAGCTTAGATGATTTACAAGTATTAACAATCTCACCCATATTCTTCACATTTCGAGCTCATTTATTTGAGTCTTAGGGTATTTGAGCTTCGACTTGCAGTACGGAGCTAAGTACATATGTGTGTGTGTATGTGTGTGTGGACTTCTATGCCTTCACCTCCTCACATGTTAATAAGAGTGTAATTATAGAGGCTGCTGTGTGCTTTGTGCTGTGTACTCGTATATGAAAGACGGGGGGAGGAGGCTTTGCAATTCGGTTGACTTTTCCACGCGGTCTGCCTTTGTGAGTTCTTTTTTTTTTCAGTTTTAATGCACATATTCTTGGTTAGACATTGGAAATTCGATATGAAGGCCACTACTGTGTTATGCCAGCTTGGTCATAAGCTGCTGTTGGCTTCCATGCGAAGAAGAACGAAATGCTGGACGAGTCTTTATTATTAATGGAAAGTTTTTGAAAATAGCATGCAAATATTTGGAAAATGATTGTACACGTCTTAAAGAAGGTAAAAGCTGCCTACGCCCTTGCATACATATGAATAAAGAAGCGAACTTTTGGTAACATACGAGTCGATCTAGCCCTGCCTGTACGTCTGTTCGTCAGTATGAACACCTAGATCTCAGAGACTATAAGAGATGGAGACACCGATTTTTTGTACATAGATACCTTCTACAAGTATATGTACGCTGTACGAGTTTGTTTTCTTTTTTTAATACACTCCTCCACATGAACTATGGGCGATTCTCGGTCCAAGAATCCTTCAGAATTTTCCTCACAAACTCAAAGTCAAAATCGGGACACCCCCCTTAAGTTTCTGCACTTGTTTTCTTTTAAGTAAGTGCGCATATGTATTAATTAATTTTAAATTAAAAAACTTAAATGTTCTGTATCCAATCCACACAAAAATTGAGGGTGCAGTAAAGAATTGAGCCAAAACAGCAGCAACAACAAGAACAACTGCTGCGGGCAGAGATTATACATATTTATGTCACAACTTAAGTTAAAGTTGACCTATCATTATGAAAATTGATACATATAGAGATAGATAAGCATTAACCGAAAGTAATTTCCAAATTTGGTTAAAAAACATCAATAATTCGGTAGTTATGGAGAATCACAAATACAGACAGAAGGACATCGCTATATCGATTCGTCCTGTCATCCTGATCGAGAATATACAAGTATGTACCTATATCCATATATACTTTGTGAGGTCTGCCACGCGTTCTTCTGCGTGCTACATACATGTACATTTAAACTAAACTAGTATACCCTTTCATCCTTTTTGTAGAGGTTGTAAAAAAAGTATACTTCTAGATTTCTGTAATTTGTGTAACTGAGAAAGCAAGATATATAGGGCGACAAATATACGAGTATAGTAAAGTATGTTTTATTTACTTCTTCTGGAAATTCAAAGTGTTATCCTTCGGTTGATCAGCTGTAGGAATCCTATTTGCTCTAGGAGTCCTATTTGCTCTCAAATCTTACATCCGCTGAGCTGTAGCCAAGATTTAAAATATAAATAAAGCTCGACACTGTATCTGTACGCTGCTACAAAGCAATTAGCTTCAATGGCGAACTTGTTATATCGGCCAAGGGAGCGGGCTACAAGCTGGGGGCGGGCAGCCATACGCATGTGAACTTGCTGTCTTCTTTGTTGCAGAATCGACACTGTGCCACAAATGTGTAGCATTGGGACTCAGGCAGTCCAATGTCGTAAACCGCAACAGCGACGGCGGCAACGAAAGAATTTTGACATACCAAAGGTCTCTGATTACAGTTGGGAACGGATCAGAGAAGACCCGGAGGCAGGGCGCACCAATTCGAATGCTGCAAAGGGCCATTAGCGCAGCTGTCAGCAACTAGCGACAACTGCAACAGTGGCGGCTGTGGCAGCAACATACATATGTATGTGTGTGTGTGTGTGTGTGTGTGTATGTAGCATCAAAGTCGCATTGACAGAGTGCGGCATGTAGCGCCTTTGATGTTGCATGTCATCGGCTCGCTTCAAAATAAATTGCATTTGGGAAGCTGAAACTAAAACCGAAACCGAAAACTCTAAATCAACAATCATCATAACATCGGCTGTTCGCAACCCCTATCGACACTTCACAACGTGTTGCAAGTTGTTGCTCTTGTGGCATGCGCTTCATTCCTGCAACACTTTGGCGGTATGCTGTGTCCTGTTGCCGCCGCTCCACAAAGTTCATTTCCACCACACAAATCCAAACATTCCCCCCTGACGCATGCAAGGCAAGTGAGCGAGCCTCTCCATCCACCTTCCTTCCCTTTCCTTTATACATTTTCTACTCTCTTTCAATTTAATTACTTTGGAGCTACGTTAGGCTGCAGCAGAAGGAGCAACAGCAGCAGCAGCAGCAGCAGCAGAATCAGGACAAAGTTTCTGGCAAAGGACTGCATTTCATTTGCTACCGAAACGCCCGCTCCTCGCCTTAGAGCCACATTCAGGTCCAGGTTCCTAGGTCCGTTCTAATGGCGCATGCATGCATAGACGACGCCTGCAACTCGACTGAGTTTCAATTTAAAATTCATAATTTTCAAATTAAATGTAATGTAATGAAAATATGCAAAACCCGAAGCTCTCCTCCTCCTTATACCTACGAGTATTCAGTGAGATAAGTCCCTTGTGCGTATGCAGGAGAGTGTGGGTGGACGAGAGTGTTGGCCTAACATTTGCATTATCGATTGCATATGGCCACAGATTTGGGGAGTGACACACAAAAACAACAACATCGCCTATTTGCATAAGAGTCAACAACGGATACAAAAACAAAGTGACAGCTGTTGCAGAACCACTGAAAAACAACAGAACTAGTTAGGAGAGGAGCCATGCGGACTAACAGTTGCTCTATCTTTTCCCCACCATTACATTTCATTCGAAATAGTTACCTCAATCATGAATTATCATATGACAAAATGCTTTGTTCTGATGCGGAAATCGTTCATTTTAATACCCGTATGTGGGGTATTTGTGTTAAAGTAACTTTTCTTTTCTCTGTTATGTTAGCTTAGATGCTCCATATTACTTGAGTTAGCGAAGTCTTTTCCCATCACGGGATGTTGGTTCTGGTTGGTGATTTTAATTTGTGAAACATTTTTTGGTCATTCTTTAATGCTTCAACACTTCTTATAATGCAAAGAGTTTTTAATTACATGCTTTAATTTTCTTTTGTTTAAATTAAACTAATGTAGATGTACTTAAACAGAGTTCTCGATTAATGATGACAATAGTGCCGTCGCCTCTAGATAATTTCCTCTATCAGTGTTATTTATCATTCTTACATCGAAATTTCGCTTTCCTTTCTTTTTTGATCAATTTATTCATTTTCTTCCGGGTGTACGAGTATTAAACCATGCAGGTATTTGCTCAAATGTGACTTTGTTATGCTAAACCGGTTGATGGCAGGAACTGATTGGTCTTCTTTTTTTATACCCTGTACCCAAAGGGTACAAGTGGTACAGGGTATTTAAGAGTTGAGCCTGCTTGACTTTAGCATTCATTTCTTGTTTTTTTTTTTTTTAATTTTGTAGATATTGAAATGACCTCTTTATATTTTTATAACACCCTTAATTCCATCTTTGATGTTGTCGTTTCGAATAGAGTAGCCTTATCTTTTCCAGTAAAGCTTCCACGACTTTCTTGTATACTTTCGAACTTCAAAATT